TGGCCAGCCAAATGGTACCATGCTCTTGGATATTATTTTCATGGTGGAGAATCAAATATGGCTAGTGCCCTTGAGTATTATACTCAAGCACTTTCGCTGTCGGATAGTACTGGCCACCCCACGACAGTTGCACAGTGGGCTCTGTGCAACATATCTCAAGTCCTGATCAACACAGGAAATCCACTTGGTGCATTGGAATATGCGAAGAAGGGCCAAAAATATGCAGAGTATCTTGGGGACATGTATGCACAAGCAAGATCACTCTACTTGCAAGTCGATTGCGAGATTATATCTGCCAACTATCAGCATGCTCAAATTCTTGTCCGAAATGGCCAAGAGCTTGTGAATTCTTGTGGCCTACAAGGAAGCACGGTGGACATGAAGCTGAGAGGATTTCAGAGTGACATATATCTTTTGAAAACCGAGTATTTGGAATCTCGTAAAATGCATGCGATCACTGTATCCACCCATGAAGCTACAAGTCATGATGCAATTTATGCAGCCTTGAATATTGCTTTCATTGATACTGAAATTGGAGTAGACTCTCAAGCGGTTCGAGAAAGCTTAGAAAGCTGCCAGCAAAGGCTGGAGGTGTTGGTAGATGGTTTTAGAAAAACATGGATGGTTTCGTTCTATGATGAAATAACTGCAAACCTTTTTGTTCGCGATGGCGACCACAGGACAGCAATTGCGAAATTTGAATCCTGTTTTGCACGCTTCCGTACTATTGCTATAGACCGAGCACTGGGCTGCCTTGAAAAACTGGCAGATCTTTCCACTGGCATGAACAACACCCAAACCACTCTGCAGTGGGCCGGAATATTCCTTGCACTGGCTATGAAATCTAAGGATAGATTAGCCATCATGAAAGCCCTCCGCTGCCTTGGCCAGATTTTTGTAGCCCAGAAAGATGATGAAACAGCACTCAGTCTTTTCACAGTAGCCTTGGAGGGCTTCACTGTAATGGAAGTCCATCAGTGGAGAGCAGATTGCATGGTTCAAGTTGCTGATATTGTGGACCAACGAGGAGAAGTTGCAAAGTCGGCTGCATTGTGGACAGCCGCAAGGCCCTTGTTTGAAATATCCTCCCAGACCGAAGATATCATCCGGATCAACAAAAAACTCGCAGCTGTTGACCCAGAGATTTTGAAGGGGTACAAGATTTAGGAGGTGTTGCAAGTAGAAGCAGCGGCAGAGTATGTCTGAATGTCAATGGAGCAGTTGTAGCACAGTCCACAAATAGTCTTCACATTTGTTTTCATAATCCCGTTAGTGTGGGTATATATTTACAAGGTGGGTAGGTAGGTAGGTAGGTAGGTATTATTACACGGCATGGTCCGAATAAAGAATGCCGGTTTCCAATAATTTTCCTGGTGTACAAGCAAGCGTAAATACACCATCACCCCTGAACTTCCCTCTGCCATCTGGACCAAGCTCGCAGATCCCACAGGTTACCCCATGCCCCACGGTTGAGCCCAAACGACAAGAGAGAAGCATAAGTAACCTAAATAATGCCCGACAGCGGTCAGAGTAAGTCAACCTGCAAGGTACAGAGTTGAAAGCTCCTGATGGAAAGATTGAGGAGGATATTAGAGAGGAAATTGGCGAAGTAGCTGAACAGATAGGTGTGGTGTCCCTTATGTAAAGATTGAACTGTTTCTATGAGTCTAGGTTCAACATTCTGTTCTATAAATATATGCTGTTTTTATCAGAAGCTGTCAGCTTCAACTTAAGGTGAACTGATTAGACTAAAGTTAACTTTCAGGCTCAAGAAACACAAACACATTGAGACATCACCAGAAAAATAAACACCGCGGCATATGTTGAGCAAACCAAGACTGGACGGACCAGGCAAATTATGGTACGGCCATGTGTAATTCTGTGACTTCAGAAATTTACTTCGTGGTTAGAGAAGCAGGAGGAAACCCAGATGGTATGTCCCACAATTAGACCAATCAAAACATTTGCACAGTGACACGACCAAATGCAAAATTTCAGGCAACCTGATGATGTGACTTAAATGATTGCTTTCAAAAGCCAGTTTCAGGAAGCCTCATCTTGTACCTTAAATAATTGTTTTCAGGACACCCTAATTTGCAGCTGAATTCCTTGCCTTAAGCTACAGCTTCAACGCTGTTCAGCCATAATTTACAAATGGTTTGAACTCTTGTTTTGGTGCACAGCACTGGGGCTGTTATACAGCTTCGGTGTTTGCTATACGGCTTCGAACTTGGCGGATTAGATGCTCATCAGGTTCACATCATGCACAGCCTTCTCTGCGCCTCTCTTCTTCCACCACCACCCACAGCATGCAGAAGCAGGCGCATCCAAAGCCACTGAGGGCCCCAACGGATGAAACTATGCTGCAAGGAGCTAGGTAGTGAGCTCTCTGTGTTCTGCATTTGGTGGTGCTGATCATGCATGTGTGCTAGAGGTATGGTATTCAACCACTGCCAGAATTTCACAATCAGCGGAGGGACCTCCACTGTTCAAGTGAACGCCGGCAACTTGGATGAAACTGGTGAAATCCCCCTAGGTCTCAGCTTCCCTAGCAAGCCCTTACTTACGGGACTAGATTTTCGGCGTGTGAGACCGGGTGATCTATGCCTCGTGAAAGAAGTGGCCAAACAAAATATTGTTGAATATCACGAGGTTCGCCACAGAAGGTCCGGAGTCATTAAACGCCGCATTCCCAGGGTAGTTAGTTGGCTTGCGGGAAATTTATCGAGTGCACATCCATGGGAGCCAGGAGGAATTCACTGCGGTTGTGTATCAAGGATCTGATTTTGAAAAGGTAAACCATATTCTGGTGTTAGTCTGTCCTCCTAATAGAATTCGGACAGCACCGGGCTCATGCGGAATGGCGTGAAATTTTCCGGTGATGATATCCTCTGAAGAGTGCTCAGCATTATCTGACATTCTGCTCAGACATCCCTCTTTGGTTCAGTTATTCGGTGTAACTTCGGGTACCCGCTTCAAAGCCTTAATCTATCATGACGGTAATTAAAGCTCTGCCCCCTTGCGCCACTCTGAATTTTTATATGGTAGGATTGATGCCACTGGATGAATTACGAAACATGCATCAGCAATCTCTGCTGGTGTCAGCCTTTGTAGAGGGTGAAATGGTGTGTTTTCACCGTGTTTGGTGTAAAGATGTGCCTGAATATGGATTTAACTACAGACCAAGCACCTCCATGTGAGCTCAATATGGGGATATGCATATTAAACTGACAGGCTCAAGGCGGCACTCGCTCACTGGACGGATGTCACCGGAGTATGGCTAATTGTCCGGGATTCATATGGTCGCTGGAACCGGGCGGAGCTGGGCACACTGTTGTGGATCCACACCTCCACTGGACAGTTGTGCATTGAGGTCAATAGCAACCAGGAATACGATCCCACAGCCATTCCTCGGGGACTACCAGGTGTCTTCATCTCATCCAGAGTTAATCTCGCATCCGACACCAACGTGGAAGAAAGGCTTATTTCCCACATGTCTCTTGATGATATCCACCGCATCTTTTCAACCACTGACCGGTGGTCTCAAATTGATCTTGCTGATCCAGGCATTGTCCTGCTTGGATCTCTTTCCTGGCCCACAGCCAGCAATGCATATCTGTTCAATCCATTTTCCAAACTTTATCAGACTATCTGGGATTGCAGGATGTTTCTCCAAATAGTTGGGAATACACATGTACCCAGCATGGTCCCTCATCCTCAAACGAGTACATTGTTATATTACCAAATGGGTGGACACGGTATGATCTCCATTATTTTAACTCGGACTGGAACTGACAAAAACCCAGTGTTGTACTTGCAGATTTGTCCATCCATGAGGAATGTCATTTCCGCAAAAACATACGCCTGAATCTGGAAGCCCGGCAGGAGCTTCGAAAATGCTGGCTCTCACAGGCAAACCATGTCATGGATAAATCAGGCTTGGATGCAGGTTAGTTCCTTCAACATCAATTTCAATCCTTGGCTCATGATAATCTCAGATGAATATTGTATGTGACAGTTAATATAATTGGAGTCTGACTCATCTTGCAGTTATGATTCAATACATCCTTTTGCACTTTTCAATATCATTCAACCTTGACCCGTTTACACTACAGGGAACATTCATGGCTGACACCCCAAGGGATGATGTCTATCTTTTCTTGTTCCCTGCAACCATAGATGACTCAGGAGGAAACTTGGCTGTTCACCTTCCTCCAGAGAGCGAAACATACTACTGGTCATTAGATCCTGACGGAATTGAGAAATTGCCTCAGGATGCTTTGGAGGAACTCGCCCTTCCCCGGGTAAAATTTCTTGCCCAAGCATTGGGGTACCAGTGGAGCGAGGAGGTCTATGACTCAATTGCCAACTTTCATTACGGCAAAGGATTCGACCATACCAGCCAAGATGTTGCGATCAAATTTGGGTATCCTCTTGTGGATGTTGACAGGTTGATTAATCTTATTTATTGTGAGGCAGTAAGTTTACTCCATCTTTCCGTTCAGTGCAAAACATTGATTAAGTGTCAAAAGATTGAAGTGGTCAATGACGACGATGAGGTTGAGGTGCAAGAGGTGTAAATCTGTATGCTTGCCAGTATTTCGCTGCTTCAAGAATTATTGTATTGATATTCAAACTAGTTTGGTATATATTGAATCGACCCAGAAAGCCGCTCACTCCCTTAGTCAAATGAATTTTGTGTGGCTTTGATTGCTTGTTGAACATTTCCCGGCGGAGTTGGCCGAGTTCGACCCCCCATTTCACCCAGACCCCCAATAAAGCCTGTGTAAATTATGTTTCTGCCTGACCCATGATCCTTGAACTTTTACCCAAGGTCCAGCCCACCATACCTTAGATCAATTAAAACCTCTGCTTCCACTCTGGTTCAGCTCGGCACTTGCCGGCCTGACCAAATACTCACAAAGAAAACACCGCCATCTTCCCAATCAGGCAATTGACTCCTGCTGCCTTTTGACCCCATGGAAGAAATGCAAAAAGACTAGCACCAGCTTGTTTCGATCAGGCGACCTTCGGATCTCTCCTATGTATGAGACCGACGCGCTTCCAGCTGCGCTATGGTGCTGTGTGTATGGGGAGTAACGGAGCATTTTGTGGGAACAAATATGTATTACTAAATACTCGAGATCTCGTAGGTACGAATTTAATTCAACGATCGGCCGATAAATGACAAAAAATAATCGGGGTCGACAGCAGTCCCCCACTTAACTTTCGCAGACGATCTCACGGCGTTAGGTACACCGCATCTGCGCCTTTTCCTCAAATTTGACCCATACAAAACTCCAGCACGGCTGGGCGAAATAGGTCGGAGATTCAGAGCCCTGCGAGATGCTACTCCTAGCGGAAGCGCTCTGTGCATCACAGGACGTCCATGCCTGAATGAACTATTCAAATGATTGTAATTTCTTCGCTGTTCGGACGATTGATTGCTTACGGCCAGGGCAAAAAAATATCCTCGAAGGGTTTCAAAAGCTCATTCACAACAGAAAGATGCAATACGTGGAATGGAATGGTCCTTCCAATTTTCGTCCGACAATTATATCCTCTCTTCATATTGGCGATCAGAGGATATTTTAGCGGGTAATTATACTACAGCTTGAGAGTCGGTACATCGAAGCGCTCCTGCAGAACGATAAAGCTCAAAACAGCCATGAGCATCCTTGCTCTACTATCTATCGCTCCGTGGGCAGGGAAACGCGGGGCATCCAGATACGCATCCAACGCCTCCTCAATATGTTGCCAATCGCAAAATCCCAGGCGCTCCACACTATCCTGCGTTATCCGCGCCTTGAGATGCACTTGCAGCGGGACGAGTGCTGCTGCGCCGGACGGCGCAGAGGGCTGCGGGGGCGGGTTGAAGGGCACTTTCTTCCGGAGGTATATCTCCTCCGTGATGAACGGTTTGACTGCCTCCCGGAGGATCCACTTCTCAGTGAACGCCCACTCGCCGGGGCCGGCCCCTGCGATTGGCATCAATTTCACAGATCTGTTGTTTTATTTTCAACGCCATATATACATCAGAGAGCGCGGATAGCGAGCAAGATGAATAGGGACGCACGGAGGCAACGAGTTGACGTATTCGACTAGATGGTGGTCAAGAAATGCGACACGGCTTTCGACTGAGTTAACCATGTCGGCGCGGTCCCCAACGTGGTTGAGAAGTAAGTTACCCAGGAACGTCTTCGTAGTGGTGTACTGGAAAAAAAAAAACCGAAATGATGATGTTCAGAACAAGCTACATGTACGACGTTCGAGTTCATACCAGCGAGACGTTCAAACTGTGCCATTTGCCGCTGATAGAGTCCCTTCGGACACGCGGATCGAGTCCCTCCGCAATGCACCGCGCAACTGCGGGGCCGCCGCATTTCTGCACGACGTCCGGACTGAGCATCGGGCGGAAAACCTGTTCCAGCTCGTGTGCGAACGCAAGGTGCGCGCTGATATCGAGAAGGCCTTTAGCGGTGCCGTGGCCCACGCTGGGAAATTTCTTCATCATCTCATTTCGCTCCTCGTCGGAGGGAAGATTCAGTCCAAGAGCTGCGCCAGCGGGATCGGCATTGCGCAGGTAGTCGACAGGGAACCAGGTATAACCTGCCAGTAGCTTCGCAATATTTGACATAAACCAACTTACTCGAACACAAGACGCACCTCATCGCTCCCCTCGCCAGATAACACGACCTGTCATGAATAAGACAAAAAAAACACATCAATCAGAATTTGCGCTCAGAATTAGAGGGACCCCAAACCTTGAACCCTTCGCTCCGAACAGCCCTCGACAGGAGGATCTTCCCCGCGCCATGAAACGTGGTGTTCGGCTGCTCGGAATGCCAGATGGACTCCTCGAACAGACCCACCAAATTCGCCTCCGTCGCATCGACCATGTGCACATTGGCATTTATGTGCGCGGCCGTACGCGCTGCAATAGGCGACTCGTCCGTCGTTTCGTCCTCTGGCCGGACCAGGACCAAGTGAGCAACCCTCGAGCTGATCTACATACGGGAAGTGCTGCGTACCGGGATAGGCCAGCGTGAAGGTGTCCAACGTGGCGTCGGGATTCTCCTCGCGGAGCAGGTGAGCGGCGATCCCGGCGATGGCGGAGCTGTCGATGCCGCCGCTCAGATACACCGCGAGGGGAACGTCGGACCGAAGCCGGAGCCGCACAGCGTCAACCAGATGTTCTCTCACTGTGGAGATCATGGTCTCTATAGTCGAGGAGGGAAGGTCCGACGCGGCAGGGTACGAGAGGTCCCAGTACGGCTGGACACTCATGTGTCCGGAAGCCCGGCAAACGGCGAAATGTCCTGGGGGAAACTGCCGTCGTGAGATGGTCATTCGCCCGCCCATACGCCTCCGAAATACCTTTCTGACACCATTGAACACGGTGCGATCGTCGCAAAAATCACCGTTATGGATAATGCTATCAATGTCCCATTCCGCCTTCCACCCAAGACCCATGAAGGCCTTGATCTCGCTCGCAACCAGAATTCGGCCGTTATCGACGGTGTAGTACAAGGGTTTGATAGCAAACCGATCACGCGCAACGAACAGCAGGCGCCGTCCGACGTCGTAGAGCACAAATGCGAACTCGCCCCGCAGGTGGAACGGCATGTTGAACCCGTCGCGTTTATACCTAGATGAAATTAGCGCTTAAACATATGTAAAAGCGGTGTCGCGGAGTCGCCAGGCTCACAGCTGCACAACAAGCTCAGAATCAGATTTAGACTTGAACGAATATCCCTGCGCACGGAGTTCCTCCCGAATGCGCTCGTGGTCGTATATCTCTCCGGTTACGACGCAGTGAATCAGCTGGTCCTCATCGGAGAGTGGTTGCTGTCCGGTGGGAAGGTCGATAATCGACAGTCTCACATGGCCGAGCCCTGAGGAAAGAAATGAGCCCAATAATTCTTTCAGCAACAGACCAAGCGTATCTTACCAATACGCGCGTCTGGAGACACATAAATCCCCTGGGAATCCGGGCCACGGTGCTTGATACTGTCAAGGGACTCCCTCAGACACCTTTCGAGCCCATGGGCCGAAGGAGGGGTGACTGGATCCGGAAAGAAAATGGAAGTGAGACCGCACATGGCGCAGAAGAACCGCGAATCCGCGGAATGAAGTACGAGTTGGAGGCGCTGTCTTTATGGACCTTTGCCAGATTTCGCTAGGTGTCGGGTTTTTGGAGGTAGGTGGCACAAAACGCTGGTTCCAATTCACACTGGAAATCAGGTGGAATCCACTGAGAGGAAAAGGAGTGCGAAATGGTGAGTTTAGACCCAGATATCAGTGAGGTAGTTTTGAGCGCTCTGAAACTAAATGTTCGGGCCGAAAGCATACGTTTCAGCCACCGTTTCGGCTAGATGTCCCCGAAACAATAGGATCAAAATAGGATGATACCTGAATTGATAACCATCAGCGCTGCCTAAGCTGCTTATCAAACCAATGGTTTCAGCGTTGTTTCTTGAGCATCTAAACTAACCATAGTAAGGCCCTCCGGGCATCCCTGGTACCTTAGAAGCTGACGCTCCGTAATACGTAGTTTTTAGCTTATTAACCAGATCCATTTCTAAATCAGAGAGTTGTGTCTGAAATCCAAGCTGCATATTTGTGTGAATTATTTTATACCTAGAACATGTACATCCCTTGGGGTTTGAGGAATAATAACAAGTCGCTGGGTACGGAACGTAGAAAGGACATAGAGTATGACTGTTGCCTTGTTCAATAAATTTCCTCTGTATACGACTTCTAATTTTCGACTACGATGGGCCCTAGCTAGTAGTCAGTGGGGTATCATATATGTGAAAGAATGGAGTGAATTTGTGCAGTTCTGATGATGAGCCTCCGGCCGAACCACTGGACAAAATTTCAACCATGCTAGCGATCACAGCTGAGCTCAATATTTAGGGCAGAAGATGGGCCTCCAGCCAACCCTTGGAATAAATAAACTAAATTTCAACCACACTGGCATTTCTCTTTGCATGTTTTGGACTGCCTGTTATGATGCGAAAACACGGTGAACCAGTATGTTTGATAGGATCATCAACAGTTCAACATACCTCGGCACATTCCCCCAAGGGCTGGAATATTCTGACACTTATTGAGCCACAGAGAAGCGTATTTAACGAGTGTTTCCTGAGAGATTTAATCTCTGTAGAGAGCCGGAACTGGGTTGAATCCGGGTCGAATCAATCCAACCGGGCAAAAATTGGGCTGGATAAACAGACTCAAATGCGGAAACTTGAGTTGACTAAAATAATTCTTTTAAAGGTTCAGTTGGATCAATAGCTCTCGAACCAAGGAAAGTACGGTTAGATCACTGGCAGCAGCCTGTGGCGGCCTGCTCAGATAAATTAACGGGGTGGTAAAGATAGTGTTGAAAGGGAGATGTTGGGGAGATCAGTTGAAAGAAAAACATGGGCCGGATGAGCAAGGCTAAATGTGAGGCTGAATCAGGTGAAAGTTGAATCAGTACTAGTAGAAATTCGATGCAGTTGAATCAATAGCCGAGAAACATGGGTTGAATCAATTATCAGGCTGCAGCTCAGTACCTATTCCAGTAAACCATGCATTTTTTGCACCTTCAGGACATCGCCGCGTAAAAAGACGTGATCGTTTTGGGGCGCAGACAGCTGGATCGGGTGCAGTTGTACAAATTTCGAGTTTTTTGTCCTGTGTCGGACAAAACCGGACGTCAAATCGGGACTGTGACCGTTGCCGTTTCCAGAGGCAAGGCCCGTGATTATTGCGTTGCGGGACCGGATCACGATATTGTACAAAACCGCACCGTCGCGAATTTTTGTTTTTTGCTCTTGTAATCTCCAGTCGGAGCAACCGGACGGAGAACAACGGATCAAGACCGGGAGCAGTTGTACAAATTTGCATCGTCTCGAATTAATGATTTGAGACCTGGAACCTAAGTCGGTACCAGGAATTTAGCATTCAATTTCGGCTCAAACGATCCATCAAATGTCCAGTGTGATTCGGCCCGGGTGATAACGCTCGACTAAACACGCGCAAGCACGCTTTGGCCGCCCCTCCACCGTTCCTTCAAACACAACCCATCCACCG